TCACTTGTACAGAGCTAACGTCTAGTAGAGTCCTGCGGATCGGTGCGGAGACGTCCGTAACTTATCTTCGGGAGGCTACAGGATGTCCTTAGGAAAATTTCCTCTTTTGTTTCGCTTTCGTGCAGCGTGTGTCTTATTGGTTTCTGGAAATCTCACTTGTTTCACTATTTCAGAGGATGGCTAGCACGCGAGGCACCGCGGCCGAGGCTGATGCAATCGGGCCTGCAGACAAAGCCCCATCTTGGGGTAGACGTTGACACCGAGGTCGAGCCAGGGCCGCAGAATCGGCCCGAGATATGGAAGAGGTGAGAGTTCGTTGTTTTGTGTGTGGGTTGCGGTACCGTCTGAGGGACGACACAGAGCATTTGGTTTATGTCGGCCGTTCATTTCTTGATATTGATAGGATCCGTGGTTGCCAGTTTGAGGATGATACCTTGGTGGCCCTTAGAGATCGAGTGTTAGCGGGTGATGGTGGTCAGGCTACCTTAGATCCTGCTGGAGTATTGAAATTCGCCGGCCGCATCTGTGTTCCGAGAGTTGGAGATTTGATACAGTTGATACTTTCTGAGGCCCATGAGTCTAGATACTCTATCCATCCGGGCACTACTTGTATGGAGTTCGATGTGAGATCTATACCGATCATAGGAGTCTTCAGTACATCATGAGCCAGATGGACCTTAATTCGAGGCAGCGTCGTTGGATTGAGCTCCTGAAGGACTATGACCTCTCTATTCTCTATCATCCGGGCAAGGCGAATGTGGTAGCGGACGCCTTGAGACGGAAGGCAGTGAGTATGGGTAGTCTAGCCTTCTTATCTGTTGAGGATCGACCTTTAGCTTTGGACATTCAGTCCTTAGCTAATAGCATGGTTCGGTTGGATATCTCAGATTCTAGACGCGTCTTGGCCTTTATGGAAGTTCAGTCTTCTTTGCTTGATAGGATCCGTGGTTGCCAGTTTGAGGATGATACCTTGGTGGCCCTTAGAGATCGAGTGTTAGCGGGTGATGGTGGTCAGGCTACCTTAGATCCTGCTGGAGTATTGAAATTCGCCGGCCGCATCTGTGTTCCGAGAGTTGGAGATTTGATACAGTTGATACTTTCTGAGGCCCATGAGTCTAGATACTCTATCCATCCGGGCACTACTTGTATGGAGTTCGATGTGAGATCTATACCGATCATAGGAGTCTTCAGTACATCATGAGCCAGATGGACCTTAATTCGAGGCAGCGTCGTTGGATTGAGCTCCTGAAGGACTATGACCTCTCTATTCTCTATCATCCGGGCAAGGCGAATGTGGTAGCGGACGCCTTGAGACGGAAGGCAGTGAGTATGGGTAGTCTAGCCTTCTTATCTGTTGAGGATCGACCTTTAGCTTTGGACATTCAGTCCTTAGCTAATAGCATGGTTCGGTTGGATATCTCAGATTCTAGACGCGTCTTGGCCTTTATGGAAGTTCAGTCTTCTTTGCTTGATAGGATCCGTGGTTGCCAGTTTGAGGATGATACCTTGGTGGCCCTTAGAGATCGAGTGTTAGCGGGTGATGGTGGTCAGGCTACCTTAGATCCTGCTGGAGTATTGAAATTCGCCGGCCGCATCTGTGTTCCGAGAGTTGGAGATTTGATACAGTTGATACTTTCTGAGGCCCATGAGTCTAGATACTCTATCCATCCGGGCACTACTTGTATGGAGTTCGATGTGAGATCTATACCGATCATAGGAGTCTTCAGTACATCATGAGCCAGATGGACCTTAATTCGAGGCAGCGTCGTTGGATTGAGCTCCTGAAGGACTATGACCTCTCTATTCTCTATCATCCGGGCAAGGCGAATGTGGTAGCGGACGCCTTGAGACGGAAGGCAGTGAGTATGGGTAGTCTAGCCTTCTTATCTGTTGAGGATCGACCTTTAGCTTTGGACATTCAGTCCTTAGCTAATAGCATGGTTCGGTTGGATATCTCAGATTCTAGACGCGTCTTGGCCTTTATGGAAGTTCAGTCTTCTTTGCTTGATAGGATCCGTGGTTGCCAGTTTGAGGATGATACCTTGGTGGCCCTTAGAGATCGAGTGTTAGCGGGTGATGGTGGTCAGGCTACCTTAGATCCTGCTGGAGTATTGAAATTCGCCGGCCGCATCTGTGTTCCGAGAGTTGGAGATTTGATACAGTTGATACTTTCTGAGGCCCATGAGTCTAGATACTCTATCCATCCGGGCACTACTTGTATGGAGTTCGATGTGAGATCTATACCGATCATAGGAGTCTTCAGTACATCATGAGCCAGATGGACCTTAATTCGAGGCAGCGTCGTTGGATTGAGCTCCTGAAGGACTATGACCTCTCTATTCTCTATCATCCGGGCAAGGCGAATGTGGTAGCGGACGCCTTGAGACGGAAGGCAGTGAGTATGGGTAGTCTAGCCTTCTTATCTGTTGAGGATCGACCTTTAGCTTTGGACATTCAGTCCTTAGCTAATAGCATGGTTCGGTTGGATATCTCAGATTCTAGACGCGTCTTGGCCTTTATGGAAGTTCAGTCTTCTTTGCTTGATAGGATCCGTGGTTGCCAGTTTGAGGATGATACCTTGGTGGCCCTTAGAGATCGAGTGTTAGCGGGTGATGGTGGTCAGGCTACCTTAGATCCTGTTGGAGTATTGAAATTCGCCGGCCGCATCTGTGTTCCGAGAGTTGGAGATTTGATACAGTTGATACTTTCTGAGGCCCATGAGTCTAGATACTCTATCCATCCGGGCACTACTTGTATGGAGTTCGATGTGAGATCTATACCGATCATAGGAGTCTTCAGTACATCATGAGCCAGATGGACCTTAATTCGAGGCAGCGTCGTTGGATTGAGCTCCTGAAGGACTATGACCTCTCTATTCTCTATCATCCGGGCAAGGCGAATGTGGTAGCGGACGCCTTGAGCCGGAAGGCAGTGAGTATGGGTAGTCTAGCCTTCTTATCTGTTGAGGAGCGACCCTTAGCTTTGGACATTCAGTCCTTAGCTAATAGCATGGTTCGGTTGGATATCTCAGATTCTAGACGCGTCTTGTCCTTTATGGGAGTTCAGTCTTCTTTGCTTGATAGGATTCGTGGTTGCCAGTTTGAGGATGATACCTTGGTGGCCCTTAGAGATCGAGTGTTAGCGGGTGATGGTGGTCAGGCTACCTTAGATCCTGATGGAGTGTTGAGATTCGCCGGCCGCATCTGTGTTCCGAGAGTTGGAGATTTGATACAGTTGATACTTTCTGAGGCCCATGAGTCTAGATACTCTATCCATCCGGGCACAGCGAAGATGTATCGTGATTTGAGGCAGCATTAATGGTGGAGTGGCATGAGGAGAGATATTGCTGACTTTGTTTCCCGTTGCTTGTGCTGCCAGCAGGTAAAGGCCGAGCATTTGAGGCCTGGTGGCGAGTTCCAGAGATTACCCATTCCTGAGTGGAAGTGGGAGCGTATCACTACGGACTTCGTTGTGGGGTTGCCTCGGACTTCTAGAGGTGTTGACAACATTTGGGTCATCGTGGATCGTATCTATATTCGGGAGGTAGTTCGTCTATATTAACTTCAGTGCGGAGTGGTTGGCTCGTATCTATATTCGGGAGGTAGTTCGTCTTCATGGTGTGCCTGTTTCTATCATTTCAGATCGGGGTTCACAGTTCACTTCCAGCTTTCGGAGGGCTTTTCAAGAGGAGTTGGGCACCCGTGTCCACCTTAGTACATCTTTTCACCCACAGACGGATGGCCAGTCGGAGGGTACTATTCAGGTCCTTGAGGATATGTTACGGGCCTGTGTTATGGATTTTGGAGGTCAGTGGGACCAATTCTTACCTTTGGCGGAGTTTGCGTACAACAACAGCTACCACTCTAGTATTCAGATGGCCCCGTTCGAGGCATTATATGGTAGGCGTTGTCGTTTTCTAGTTGGTTGGTTTGAGTCTACAGAACCTAGGCCGCGTGGTACAGACTTGCTTCAGGAGGCCCTGGATCAGGTGAAGGTGATGCAGGATAGGCTCAGGACGGCTCAGAGTTATGTTGATCAGAAGCGTCGACCTTTGAGATTCTCTGTTGATGACCGGGTATTCCTTCGTGTGTCGCCCATGAAGGGCGTGATGAGGTTTGGGAGGCGAGGCAAGCTTAGCCCCAGGTACATTGGGCCTTTTGAGATACTCCAGACAGTTGGGGAGGTTGCTTATGAGTTGGCCCTACCTCCAGCATTTTCAGCCATCCACCGAGTGTTTCATGTTTCAATGCTGCGATGGTATGTTCCTGATGAGTCCCATATTCTCCAGTATGGTGCAGTCGAGTTGGATGATCGTTTGACATTTGTAGAGGAGCCAGTTGCCATTCTAGCCAGAGATGTGAGGAGATTGCGCTCGAGAGCCATTCCTGTTGTTAAGGTCCATTGGAGACATCGTCCAGTCGAGGAGGCTACCTGGAAGACCGAGCATGAGATGCGAGAGCAGTTTCCCAGCTTGTTTGAGCCTTCAGGTACTTCTTGACCCTTACTTTCGCGGACGAAAGTCCTTTTTAGTAGTGGATATTGTAATGACCCTCATGGTCATTTCTGTGTCTTGCCTTCTGTGTGTCGTTTAGAGCGTTCCTATAGCGACCCCAAGTCATTTATAACTTGCTGGGACTGACAGTTCGGTCACCTGGTCGTTCGTTTGGTCTTGGTGCGAGTTTTTGTGTTGTGGAGCTTATGAACCTTGAACGATCATTTTCGATCAAAAGTTCAAGAAGATGACATCGGAATCCAATTCTGACGATTCCATCAGCTCCGGAAGGGTCATTTTAGGCTAGTAGAATGGTCGACATGACTCCCGAGATTTTCAGTGTGAGTCGGTGCGATTAGGCGTTTTAGCCTTTGAAATTTGGCTTAAGTTTGACTTTGGTCAACATTCTGAGTAAACGCGCTAGGATGAGAATTCCGTCAGCGTGGTTAGCTTCGGAATGTCGAGTTTGGTCTAGATTGACCCTTCTTTTGTGTCTGGAGGTTTTCAATATCTTTCCGAGCACTTTTGTTGGTTTTGACTTAAAATGACTTTTGGAAGTGGGACCTACTTTTTATCGAAATGACCTCTGATGGAAATTTCGACTGCGCCGTTCAGTCTGGAATATCAAATTTGGTATGGTTGCATATCTCGTTTGCGTGCACGGGGTTCCGAACGAGATCGGAACACCCCATCGGAATTTTAAGTTTTGGAAATGTTGCAGATTTTCTGCAATAAATTGCAGAAAATCAGCAACATTTCCCAAATTTCAAACCCTCATAATTCTCTCATCTCTCAACCGATTTGGGCGATCCAACAGGAAAAGTTGTGAGATTTTTTGAGGACAACGCGTTGGTGAGCTCGGATAGTGATTTGGAGTCCCCGTTTGAGGTAATTTTCGAAAAATACCTCCAAAATTGACCCGACTCCGTTTGTTGTGATTTTGGTGTCTAAACGACTGTAATAACGTTATGATTCTATTTTTGATAGCGGGGCAGCGTTTTGAGGACGTTCGGAAAGGGAAAGCTCCGGAGAAGTTATTTTGGAGCTCGTGTGATTGGCCTACAGGTAGGCTACGGTTTTCCTCTCTTAGATTGAACTCGAAAATGTGAATGCATGTTGATTAGTTGGGATTTGGGTTGGGTAGTTATTGAATCCTACATAGGTGTTAAGAAATCATGTTTTCGGCCTATTTCGGGAATTATCGGGTAACTGTGAGCATGCTTTGTGTTATTAACGGACCCTCCTCGCTATGTGGAGTGCTTGCATGCTTAATTATTATTTATTTGAAGCATGTTGGGCCTTAGTTTAGGTTTGACTAGGGCTTGCCTTAGAAATACATGATTCGGATCCGATAGGCCTTAGTTTTGCCCCGACGTCGCTCGGCCGGCTTAAATCCCTGTAGACTGGTGTAGCAGACTTGAGTCTGATAGTTTGGGCCTTAGTTAGGCGATACTCTTTGTCCGACTATAGTTATCCTTATTTTCCCCGATGTTACGGCTTCACGAGTTACATCAGCAACACTAGTTCTACTTCGCGATTTGAATTTGGTTCCAAGGACTTTCATTGATTGGCTATGTGTGGACGGCGTTTCACGGACATTTATGAGTATGGATCGATTGGGACTCTTTCAACAGCTACGTTGGCACCTTTATAGAGCATCCGGTTAGAGTTCCGGCCTCTATCCCCCAGATACTTATATAGAGCATCCTCGAGGTCCGGCCTCTATTGCTCAGATACCTATATAGAGCATCCGGTTAGAGTTCCGGCCTCTATCGCCCAGATACTTATATAGAGCATCCGGTTTAAGGTTCGGCCTCTATTTCCCAGATACTTATATAGAGCATCCGGTTTAAGGTTCGGTCTCTATTTCCCAGATACTTATATAGAGCATCCGGTTTAAGGTTCGGTCTCTATTTCCCAGATACTTATATAGAGCATCCGGTTTAAGGTTCGGTCTCTATTTCCCAGATACTTATATAGAGCATCCGGTTTAAGGTTCGGTCTCTATTTCCCAGATACTTATATAGAGCATCCGGTTTAAGGTCCGGCCTCTATTGCTCAGATACCTATATAGAGCATCCTGTTAGAGTTCCGGCCTCTTATACTTGTTACTTGTGATTGGTTACTTGGGTACTTCTGGTGAGCATTCGGTTCGAAGTCCGGCCTCCATTCTGTCAGATTTTACTAATTAGGGTTGAGGTTCTGATTCGTGTTCTTCGTTCTTGGGTTCTTTTATGCAATTCTCTTTAGTTATAGTTATTTTGTGTACTCGTCGTGCTTATGGGGGTCCGTTTGGGTTTTTATTTAACTTGCGCACGAGTGTATCTTCTGGGCTTATGGGGGTCCAGTTAGGTGTAGTTAGCTTATAGATTACTTTAGTTAGTTCTTTGTACACTCGTGTGCATTCCCTTGTTAGTTAGATTTTAGTTCTTGACTTCGGTTTGTGTTATTCCTTCTTTTCATATTGCCTTTACTTTTCAAGTTCAGTCGGCCTATGATGCCTACTGGGTACCTGTTGTTTTGGTACTCATGCTACGCTCTGCATCTATTTCGTGATGCAGGTCCGGGCACTAGTAGCCAGCGTTGATCGAGCTTGGAGCAGACTGATCCGGAGACGGGAGTGAGCACACGACGTTTTGTACTATTTCAGTCTCCATCTGTATATATAGACTTGGCTTTTACCTTTCGAGACAGTCCATTCTCTGTTGTCCTCTTTTGGGACTTGTACTCATTTTGTTAGTAGCTCTGTACTAGTGACTTCCAGGTTCTGGGAGGGATCTTTATTTGTATGTATGTTTTGGTTTGCTTCCGCCTGTTTATATTGTTATTTGCCTACTCTTGTTTAGTTTCTACCCTCAGACCCATTACTTGTTGTTCCGGGTTACGGGTTGGCTTACCTACTGGTGGGTTATAGTAGGTGTCATCATGACTTGAGAAATCGGGTCGTTACAACAACTCTATCCCCAATGGCAAGAAGTAATGAAAGCAGAATATTATGCTTTAATCAGAAACCAGAGATGGGATTTGGTTCTTATTGATCCCTCTAGGAATATTGTGGATTGTAAATGGTTGTTTAGAATTAAGCATAAATATGGTGGAAGCATTCATAGGTATAAAGCTCCCCTAGTAGTCAAAGGCTTCACACAAAGACCTAGGTTACACTATCATTCCACATTCAGCCCTATTATCAAGCTTGCAACAGTTCGTTTATTCCTTGCAATTGCTGCTCAACACTCCTGCTTATTCATCTGTTAGATGTCAATAATGCCTTTTTGCAAGAAAGTCTTGAAAAAGATGTGTATATGAGGCAACCTCCTGTTTTTGAGTCCTCTCAACATTCAACATACATTTGCAAGCTCAAAAGGACATATGCGGACTTAAGCAGGCTCCTAGGGCCTGGTACACCGAGCTCAACACCAACTTGACAAGTATTGGGTTTGTTAAATCAAAATCTGACTCATCTTTATTTATCTTTCATAATTTTGTTGTTATGTATACATTCTCATATATGTTGATGACATAATTATTACGAGCAGTATTTAGGAAAGTGTCAGGTCTGTAATTACATCACTTTCCCTACGATTCTCTCTCAAAAATCTTGGCCTCTTGAATTATTCTTTAGGTATTTAGGTGATATCCATGCCAACTGCCATATTTTTGTCTCAACAAAAATATTTTATGAATCTTTTAGATGAATTGCATATAAATTATTGCTAGGGTCTTCCAACACCAATGACATCAACTTGCACCTTCGATGATTCAGAAATTGATTACGTAGCTGACATTTTCCTTTATAGAAGAGTCATTGGTAAGCTTCACTACCTATCCTTCACTAGGCTTGATATCGGGTTTGTTGTGAACAAGCTATCTCAATTTATGCATAATACTGACGTGTCTCACTGAAAAGCTATCAAACGTTTGCTACGCTACTTGAAATACATAAGTACATGGCAGTTCAGCTCAATCACGAACCAACATGCTGTTTACTTGCTTTTTTTGCTCTGATTGGGCTAGAAATCAACAAGATAGAACATCAACAACAAGTTATGTACTATCTCCCTTAGGAACTCACCAGTCTCTTGGTCTTCCAAAAAGAAAAAGTATGTCTCCCGCTCATTTACGAAAGTCGAGTACCAAGTTGTTGTTGTTGTTTCTGATGTCAATTGGCCAACAAATTTCCTCCGAGAGCTTCACCTATTGTTGATAGTACAATCAACTTGAGCTCATCTCGAAAGAAGACGACAGAACACTTGAGAGTGTTGAAGGAAGAAAACATTATTTCATATTAAGAGTCGCTGGGTGTTATTTTGTTTGAGGAACAAATTGAATTCGGGCTGCTTCACTTTGATTCAATAAGCGGCCCAACTTCAAATATTGAGTTGTATTTTATTTATACTAGTATATGTATAGGAATTGTATTTACGTTGCACTAGATTTTAGCCATGTATGTGATTATTAGGAGGCTAGTCTCTGAAAATCATTAGGAGTCTACAAAAGCTTAGGCAATTGTTGGTTTATAAATAGATCATATTGTATAAAACAATCGATATTCCAGAAAAATATACAAATTTCTTTTATATTTTTACATGTTATTGGTTGACGTGTCCGGATGCTTCATCCAATACTAAGCATCCACGGTCGTTCAATAGTAATATAACCCAATTAGTGAGTTGTGGTCGAGTCCCAATGGAGCGATTTGTAATCGAGAATCAAGAGAAAAGCAAGAACTTCGCTCAAGTCAATTATAGCTAAAGACATATACGAAGAAAAACATGATAAATTAAAGGTTGACACAAGTGTCAAATATCAAAAAGGTTTGTAGTCAACAAGCAACTAAAAACAACAAATAATAATGAAAATACGAATATGGAGACGGGATTCTTGGGATGTGATAGGATTATGGGCTAAGATAAACAATCGGGTAATTGCAATTAATAGTAAACCGCTGCAAATCGGTGAATAAGCTAGACTTTAGTGGGGGTAAACGTTTCTCTCGAACAATTTACCCCAAATCAAATTGGTTTCTCTCGAACACCAATAAGCGGCAATGAAGCACTGCCTTCGCTTTAGTCCATTCACTCTCTCGAGTTGAATGTGTGGAAAAGGGTTTAGGATTCACTCTCTTGAGTTAAACCCACGACAACCCAATACCCACATACCATCGAATCAGTAATTTTGGTTTTAAAACCTCTCTCTCTCGAGCAAGCCAAAACCACGAAATTAAGATTGTATTTGCAACTACAACCCCATTAAATTCAACCATAATTACTGACTGAAATCACCTTTAAACAGAAAATAAACTATTAACTAACATTACCCAGCAGTTAAATCAACCCATATTCATATAATCACACTCCAAGAATTGGGGTTTTAGCTAGACATAGTGAAAAGATAGAAATCGATACCGAAATGTGTTTCCATCAACTGGGTACGATCGATATTATCTTTACAAATGTCTAAGATGAAGAATCTTCAACACCCACTTCCAATTTCTTAGAAATGGAAATCTTCAACTCTTCAAAGCTAAGGGAAAATGTCTCCAAAAACAGTTCTAAGTTCTAAAACTTGATATTCTAAAATTTCATAAACTGGTTGCTTACTAAACTGAAAATTCAAACAAGTATTTATAGTTGTCAAAAAGTGTGCTGCGAAGGTCCAATCGGTGCGGTTAGTTGGGATCGCCAATCCACTCGGCGATCCTCCATTTGGACCCATTCGGCGACTCGCCGACTGCTCTCTTCTATCGCCGACTTGATTTTATCCTTCAAGGCTTAGCACATTGGAACATTAGGCGAGGTCAAGGCCATTCGGCGACTCCCCCAATGGTTTGGTCCCTTCTCAGGCCTTCTTTTCTTCGTTCTTTCAGCTGCCTTATTCCTTTATGCTTATTAGTGTCCATGCTTTGTGCCTCAATCCAAATACCTGTAATTCAAGGATTTATATCAGTTATTGGCACAAAATATGCATTTGAGGACACTAAGTCTATTAAAATTAAGCCCTAAATGAGTCCAAATCATGGATTCATCAATAGTCATTTGAATATTTTTGAGAATTTACTACTTCAAAACTTTTGAATTACCATGCCTATTTTAAAAATAATTTTTGTGTGTTTTATAAAGTCTTAATAAGACCATATTTTGGTAGATGTTATTTGTCATTATTTTGTAATGAATCCAATTGCAATTATTGAGATAATACTTAATTTATGTAGAGATTATTGTTGAGATTAGCAGTGTAGAAATCGCTATAGTGATTGAAATTGAGAAAAATGCTAGACTCCATAGCATTAAAATCTTGACCACGACCTTTGTGTATGCCCTATGTTTGATGAAGACATCCCAAATAATAGTCACGAGCCATACTTTTTCTAAGATAGATAGTTGACAATCATCTTAAGGGCACGTTACTCATTTGACATATTTTAAGGAACTATAAAAGTTTAAGTGTGAGGTGTTTCATGTAAATTGAAAGAAAACTGTATAATGTGTAGTGGCTAGCTGTGCAAAATGTATAAAAAAGATTTGGGGAAGTGTGAGTACTCGTGATAGTAAATTAAGAGTGGTGCCATATTGACACCCTTTTGCTTAATTTACTAGCTACATTGTATAATAATTAACTTTCAATATTTGCAAGTATAATGAAACATCCACACTAAACAAGAGGAAAATAATAGGCCACTGATGAAAAAAAGAGGAAGAGGACTTGCACAGATCAAGCTTTGGGTAGCCTAGCCCCACTCATCTGAATGAGCTAGACACTCAAGAAGTGAGCAGAGAATAAGATATTAAATGGGTGATATTTGAAGGGAAGAAATGGTTCAAAACATTCACTAAGGAAAGATACCTTTCTGAGGCACAAATTAATGAAGCTATACTATAGGCACAATTCCTAGATATGTGAGCAAGAGTACACAATATGGGTTTGCATTTCATTTTCGAAAATCTCAAAAAGTGCAACCTTAGTCTTGTGAGGGAGTTCTATGCCAATTGGCAGCCATCGGTGGAGCCCGAGGAGTATGTTACTCATGACTAGGTCATAAAGTTTAACGGTGAGCAACTATGCAACAAATTGGGGACCCCTAAAGGGATCCTAGTAGCTTGACTGAGATATGTGCCTCGAAACCTTACCAGGGCTTTCATCACACATTGTGACAAGTTTGATCTACTACTAGATGGTTTTAGTGTAAGGATAATGGGACTCACAAGACCTTAGGAATGTCTTATTTGACAAAGAGGTTTGTTGCTTGTTGAGGATAGTTTATAGTGGGTTGATGCCATCTGAGCACTACACTTTAGTGACTAGAGACCATGTGTGCTTGGTGAATATATTTATGATAGGGAATCCCATATATGTGGGGATAATTATGATAGCTAAGATAAATCATGAAAAAAAGGTCTAGGCAGTTCCTACTATGAATCACAACACAAGTCCTCCGCAAAGAAAATGTATTTGAGGAGTCGACAAACTCTCGTCTACTGAAGGTTGAGCCACCAATTGATGTCACAGTGATCAAGGGCCCATAGGGGATCCAAGGTGTTACTATGAGTATTGTCGAGTGTTATGCCTGTGACCTCATGGCCACTTTTATGGCATGAACGACTTGAAGTTGAGGATAAGTGATATAACAACCATTGATGCTGAGAGGAAATATATGAATGGGCATTGTCCACTCAACTATCACTTTTCGAGCCTATTGATGATGACATGCCTATACTTGTTACCCCGATCCACAATGATGATGATGATGGTAAGGTCACGGAAGGGACAATCGTGAAGAAGTTAACGCATACCCCCTACTGATGAGGAGGTCTATTGTTTAAAGTGATGCCTCAAAAAATGGAGATTAATTCCACTTTCTGTTGTATCAATATACAACTTTACAGTAGGATTAAGTTTAGATAAATAAGACTACAGTGTTGGGTAGAATCTGATTAGTCAGTTGCTATATTTCATGATTTAGTTATTGGAGATTATATTAGCTTATTTTACTTCTTTTCTTTAGCTTTTTAAGTTATGAGTTCATGTATTTATATTGAAGTCATTATTTCAATAAAGGTATGCATTTTAACCTTGTTATCTTTTTCTTCTCTTTCTTTGTCAAAATATGTTTATCTCTAACAGATTGATATCAATGCATTGCCATCTTGAGGGACCTGTGAGAAGAGAGTGAACCATATAAACCATTCTTTGAACTATTATCTCAAATAGTTTATAGAAAATAAATTTTGAAACAAGCTTTTTAACTACACTAGTCTTCAATGGTGAGAATTATCAAGCTTGGGCAATTAGAATGACGGTTCATCTTGAAGCACTGGATCTCTAGAAAGCAGTAGAAGAGGATTATGAATAACTCCTCCCGGTGATAATCCAACAATAAAAACGAAAAATCACAAGAAGAATAAGACAAGGAAAGCCAAAGCTAAAGCTTGCCTTTTCTCTACAGTAGCCCCTTCAATTCTTACCAGAATTATGCAAATGAAGTATGCTACAGAAATTTGGTAGTATCTCAAAAAGGAATACCAAGGAAATGAAAGAGTGCACAATATGCAAGTGATGAATCAGATTCGAGAATTTGAAATGGAGAGAATTAAAGAATAAGACACTATAAAAGATTATGCAGACTAACTACTCGACATGGCCAACAAGGTGAGATTGTTTGGTAGGATATCAATGATGAAAGAATTGTTCAAAAGATTCTTGTTACACTTCCTCAAAAATATGAAGCCACAATTTCTTCTTTAGAGAATTCTAAAGGTCTGTCAAGTGTTACCTTTGCAGAACTTGTTAAAGCTTTGCAGGCATTGGAGCAAAGGAGATTAATGAGGAAAGAAGGTTCTTTTGAAGGTTCCTTTCAAGCTAATTCAGAGAACAACGAGTCAAACAAAGGAAGAAAAGAGAACAAGAAGTAGAGGCTGAGAAATAATTACAACAATCAGGGAGGAAGTCAGCCTCCATGCCCTCATTGCAAAAAGACAAATCAATCTCAACAGAAGTGTTGGTGGAGACCAGACGTCAAGTGTAACAAATGTGGTCAATTAGGCCATGTGGAG